TCTCCCTCTCTTCTTTATCTAGAATGCCTATTATTCTAATGTTGTTTTTTCTGATGGAGTCAAATAGTTCTCATAAGGCTCATTCATTTTTCTTGATATCCATGTCTCTCTCTTCCCTCTGCATCATTTCTAGATTCCTATCTTTGGTACTACTAATTATTTCCTCCATCTGGTTAGACAGAGCCATGCTCAGTAGTTCACTCTCAATCTCCTTAATTGCATGCTTCATTTCCGGGGTTTCTATTGGTTCTTTTTTAAAGTTTCAATATCTTTGGTAAAGTACTTATTTTGTTCCTTGATTCTTTTTCTGAGTGCACTGAATTTCCTGTGTTTATTTTTTCACATATTGCTGAGTATTTTCAGAGTTGCAATGTTGAACTCTGTCATTTATATCACATATTTGCATGTATTCCAGCTTCATTTCTGGGATTTTTCATTTTCTTTCTGAGCATCCTCATTACCATGGGTATTCATGGTGTTTGCTGGTCTTCTTTGTTTAGGCGTGCATGTATGTTTATATTCATGGCCCTTAGGCAGCAGCTCTGAGTAGGCCTTTCTACTATTTTCCAGGGGATGGTCCTGAATCACAAAATTTTTTACCTCTGTGATCTTCCAGACTTGACTTCCAGGGCTTCCAAAAGACAGTACAGCCATGCAGTTTGGGGGGTGGAGTTTGTTTTGCCCTCACACTAATGGCGACCTCAACCTCCAAGGTTTCACACCTCAAGTACCCCACCTGGGAATCAGTCACAGAGAAAAACAGTGGTTCTATTGCAATAGCTCTGAGTTTACTAATAATATGCTCCTCAACCTGATATAAAAGGCAATGAGAGGCAAATTTTGGGAGTCTAAGGGGAGGCAAGGGTATGTTGTTTTATTTCTTTGAATCACCACCGTGCAAGAGGACAGCCATGAGGCAGAATCCTGTGCTCTGTCAAGCATCTGCTGGCTCAGTCATTTTTCTCTATGCTTGACCTGCTAGAATGCCCCCACAGCTCTTTTTTCCTCCTGGCCAAAGGAAGTGCCTACTGCTGCCTGCTTCCTCCCCTCTTTGGGGCAAGTCTTGAGCTCCCAGCTGTTGGGCTGTGTCTGCAGCCACTGTTTGAGCTTTCCTCCCTTCTCATCTCCCCATTTATTCCTGGTTTCCCACCTTTAGGTGCTTCGGTGCATGAGTGTCTCAGGCATGCCTCTGTATTGAGTAGGGAATTCTTTGTCGAATTATAATTGATAAACTTGTTGAAATTTCGGGGGGATAGGCCAAAGGGATCTCTCTCACTACCATTCCTCTAATGTCACAAGTGTTTTCTCGTTTCTTGAGGTAGGCCTGTAGTGCTATGAACTTCCTCTCAGGACTGCTTTCACTGTGCCCCATAGATTTGGGGTTGTTGTGTGTTCATTTTCATTTGTTTTGAGAAAGTTTGTAATTTCTACTTTGATTTTATTGGTAACCAATTCATTGTTTAATAACATGCTATTAGGCTCTATATGTTTGAATGTTTTCGAGTGTTTTTATTGTAGTTGATTTCTAGTTTTATACCATTGTGATCTGAGAAGATGCTTGATATGATTTCAATCTTCTTGTATTTGTAGATAATTATTTTCTGTCCTAACATGTGGTCTATCTTTGAGAATGTCCCATGTGCACTAGAGTAGAATGTATATTGTGCAGCTCTGGAGTGAAATGTTCAGTAAATGTCAATTAAATCCATGTGATCTAGTGTGTTATTTAGGATCACTATTTCTTTGTTAATTTTTTCTCTGGAAAACCTATCCAGTGAGGTCAGTGGGGATTTGAAGTCCCCTACTATGTCTGTATTGCTGTAAATCTCTCCCTTAAATTCCTCCAAGAGTTTTTAAAAATATATTTAGGTGCTCCTATATTGGGAGCATATATGATTACCCAGGTTATATCCTCTTGTTGGATTGATCCCTTTAGGATTATGTTGTGACCTTCTTTGTCTCTTGTTATGGATTTTGCTTTGAAGTTTATTCTGTCAGATAAAAGTATTCTTACCCCTGCTTTTTTTTCCCCCGTTTCCATTTGAATTGAATAATTTTTCCATCCCTTCACTTTTATCCTGTGTGATTCTTTTCTTCTGAGGTGGGTCTCATATAGACAGCATATATATGGGTCACTTTTTCTTATCCATTTGTCTACCTTACACCTTTTGATTGGAGCATTTAATCCATTTACATTTAAGCTTATTATTGATAAGTACTTATTTATTGCCATTTTCATTCTTTATGCCTATGTTTCTCTCTATTTCTTATTATTACTGCAGCTCCTTTAACATTTCTTACAATGCTGGTTTGGTGGTGATAAATACCTTTAGCCTTTTTTTGTCTGGAAAGATCTTTATTTCACCTTCTATTTTGATGATAGCCTTACTGGATAGAGTAGTCTTGGTTTTGGACCCTTACTTTCCATTATCTTGAATACTTCATGCCATTCCCTTCTGGCCTGTAGAGTTTCTGTTGAGAAATCTGCTGACAGCCTTATGGGAGATCTTTTGTAGGTAAACAATTGCTTTTCCTTTGCTGCCATTAAGATTCTATCTTTGTCTTTAATTTTTTTGCACATTAATTATGATGTGTCTGGGTGTGGGCCTCTTTGTGTTCTTCTTGCTTGGGACTCTCAGTGCCTCCTGAACATGTGTGATCATTTCCTTCACCATGTTAGAAAATTGTTCTGCCATTACTTTTTCAAACAGGTTCTCTATCCCTGCTCACTTTTTTCTCCTTTTGGCACTCATATGATGCAGATATTGTTACATTTCATGTTGTCCCACAGTTCTCTTAAGCTGTCCTTTATTTTTAATTGTTTTTTTTCTTTTTGGTTCTCTGATTGAGTTATTTGTTCTACTCTGTCTTCTAACTCCCTGATCCAATCCTCAGCTTCCTGTAATCTGCTGTTTATTCCTTCCAGTGTATTCTTTATTTCTGCTATGTCATTCTTCATTTCTAACTGTTTCTTTTCACAGTTTCTATATCTTTTTTCATGCTATTGAGCATCCTTATAATCATTACTCTGAACTCTATATCTTACAAATTACTTATCTCCATTTCATTTAGCTCTTCTTTTGGAGAATTCGCTTGTTCTTTCATTTGGGGCTTGTTTTCTTGTTTCTCCATTTTGGCTGCTTGTTTGGGTTTGTTTCTATTTATTAGATAATTCTGCTAAGACTCCCAGTCTTGATAGGGTCACCTTTTGTAGTAAGTTACCTGTGGGACTCAGTGGAACAGAGTCTTAGATCACCAGTCTTGGGTTTTCTAATTTTGTCCCTTGTGTGCATTTTTTGGGCCTTCCTATTGTAATGGACTCTTGATTGCTATTGGCTCATTTCTGTGTGGGCTAGTTTTTCAGGCTGGCAGACTGTGAACCTCAACCCAAAACAGCATGCAGGCTGCTGTGCAGGTGCTTATCACAAAAAACCTAATTCACGTCAGCAAGGTTTAGAGCCTGATAATATCTCCCTGTGGATATACTGCTTGTGAAGCTTATTGGATTCTACTCTGTAGTTTTATGAATCTGGCCACTAGGTTTATTGGTTTTGGGCCTTTTTGGAAAGTCTCTGGTGCAGGCCAATGTCAGTCACTGCTTGTGAGTGGTCCTCAGTACCATGTTTGGAGCTACCAGGGATCCACAGCTTGTGGCTCCTTCTGAGGCTGGACACATGTAAAAAGGACCAAGCTGTGGACCAAGGTCTTCTTTTCCTAGACCCAGGCCCAGAAGCAAGTCAGGTAAAGACTTAAAGCACCCAGAGATCCACCACTGCCTGCAAGCTCATTGCTAGTCTCAGTCACTTAATGAGCCTCAAGCTATAGAGCTCAGCAGGGTGTAAACTCCATGGGGGTGGGGAGGGGAGATGGTTTCCGATGGCTGGGCAATTGCTTTCCTGCAGGCTAAAGATGCCTGGATGGTAAAAATCTGCCTAATTATGATGGCCTCTGTAGTAAGTCGGAATGACTCAGCACAAGGATCCAGACAGCTTTCCCCTCAAGCTCTCTTCTCAGAGCCACCAACCCAGGAATCTCCTCATACAGCTGTAATTGCCTCTGTCCTCCCTCTGCTGGAACCCAAGGTGAGTGGCTGCACACAACATTTTGTGAACTGGCCCTTTAACAGGGTACCTGCATTTCCAGCCATTTCTCCATGGCAAACAGAAACTCTGCTGCTTTTCATAGCCAGATGTTATGTGGGCACCATTCCCAATTCTGGTGCTCTGAGCTGGGAAACCCAGTTTTGGTTTTAGACCCAAGACTTCTCAGGGGGACCCCCCCCCCACAAGTGAGATACCCCTCCAGAACTTCAGGTGCTGTGTGTGGGAGCCTGAACAGCCTTCTCAGGCCTCTGCACTTCCTACCAGTCTCAATGTGGCCTCCTCTTTACATCTTTGGTTATAAGGGTTCACTCCATCTAGTCTTCAGTTGGTTATTTAGGGTGATTTTTTATATTTTGTTTGTTAATTCCAGTTTGGTCCTGGGATAATGTCAGCGTAGCTTCTACTTAGTCTGCCATGCACTTGGAATTAGTACCAGCCCTTGTTTTTTGTTGATTTATTGATGGTAGCCATTCTGGCAGGAGGTGATATCTCATTATTCTTTTAATTTGCATATCTTTGATGATTAATGACATAGACCATTTTTTATATGTCCAATTTTTTATATGTCTGTCCTCTTTGGAGCAGTGTAATGGAGTGTAAAGGGCACAAGAACTAGGTTGGTGGCTTAGTTTTGCTACTTACTGGTTGAGTGAGTGTAACAATGCTTAAGTTACTTAATTTAAGTTTTATTTTATTTATAAAACAAAATCATCTATCATATAGATTGAGATAAAAGCCTGATAGTTAATTGAGATAATTATCCAGAGAATGTTATAAGCCAGTTACCTGAGCTTCAGGATAGATAACAAATATTTTCTTCTAAATAATTATTGTTGTTTTTAAAAAATTTTTCCGAACCTTGGAATGTAAATTCTTACTTCTCATTTCTGCTTCCAGTTTCACTTGTCCTATACAGACAAGGAACGTTATGAAAATGAAGAGAGACCTGAGGTCCAAAAGCAGATGCTCATTGATATTGCCAAGAAGCTACCAGTTTACACAAGGACCGGGAGTGGAGGTCAGTTCATCCAAAGTCAACTAGAGAGGAAGATCAGCAAATATCTCAGAAAGTCTTAAGTCATATACATCCTCAGGCTAACCCTTTTTTTCTCTTCTCTTCTGAAAAACACTATTGAGTCTTTCTCAGCATTTTATTATAAAAAATTTCAAACATCCATCCCAGATGGAAGAATTATACAATAATATCTGTATGCTCACCTCTACAGTCTACCACTAACATTTAACTATATTGTTTTATCACACATCTGTTCATAAACTCATTCCTCTACCCATTTATAAAGCTAATTTTATTTTTGGTGCATTTTCTAAGTAGTAGATATCAGTACATGTTTAATTAAATATTTTATTATTTTAAGGCTGAAATATACATATAAAAAAACATGCACAAATCATAAGAATACCATTCAGTGTTTCCAAAAATATACACACTTGTGTAATCAAAACCTCTATAAACTTTAGCACACCCCAGAATGTTCTCTCATGCTCCTTCCAAGTAAACCTCACTAAACATAACCACTATTCTGATATGTTTCCATCATAGATTAGTTTTACCTGCTCTAGAATTTTATATAAATAAATTTATACAGCATTTACTGTTTTGTCTGCTTTATTGTATAATGCTTTTGAGACTTATTCACATTGTCGTGTATTTTATAGCCTTTATTGCTGAGTAATATTTCATTGTGTGAATATATCACAGTTTGTTTACCCATTCAAACATTGATGCACATTTGGGTTGTTTCTGGTGCTTAAATATTATGATGTTGTAAATTCTTGTACAAGTACTTGTGGAGAGATATGTCTTCATTTTTGGGGTAAATATACACTGTGGAGTTTCACTGTTAGTTTTTATCCGTATGAATAGAACAATACTAGCTGAACAAATTATTTCCTTTTTAAAATTTGAAAACTAAGGCTCTTTTGAAATAAAGATTGTGTTTCAAAACTTTAGGAAGTATACTTTTAGTTATTTATGTTCATTTATCATTTACTTATTTGATAGATGTTTATTAAGATCCCATATGACAATTGGGGAAACTTTAATATGGTCTCGGTATTAGATAATATAAGGGACTTGCTGCTAGTTTTGTTAGAGCATTAATGTCATATGATGATCATAATTTTTTTAAAGTCTTCAGGCATACTGATATATGGTGAAAAAGACACAGACATGAAATTGTATAATTTCAGACAGTAGAAAACAGAATGGCGTGATAAAATAGTGGTGACAGAGACATATTGGATGCATTGGGTTCAGAATTATATTTTGTCTGATCTTTGTGTCTTTTAAAACTTTGCATTTGTTGCTGATTTTTAACAATTAGAATATTAGCAAACGAAAATCCAGATTTCTGGCTTCTCTTGAAAACTCAATCAATCTGCATTTCTGTATGGAAGAAATTAGCTAGAGCTGAGTAGTAACTGCTCTCTAAACAGGACATGGATTCTCGTCCTCCCACACAGTCTCCAACTGACTGCTTCACTCACTACTTCCTACTTCCTGAATCCTTGAAGCATTTTTTTGCAGCCCCCATGGTAAAAAGTAATAGAAGGCGTCTCTGAAGAAATGCCATTTGATCTGAGACTTGAAAATAAAAAGTAACTGAAACTACAAAGGCCATGGAACAGGAGCAAGCTTGCATTATGAGAAGAAAAGACAGATAATCAGTGTAGCTGGAGTATTGTAGGAGGAGAGTGGTACAAGTTAAGGTTAAAGAAGTATGCTAAAGCCATATGATGCAGGCCATGATAAGGAGTTTGGATTTTATTCTAAAGGTGTTGAAAATCCACTGAAGGTTTTAAGTAGAAAGTGATATGATCTGATTTACATTTTAGCAGATCACCCGACTCTTCTGTAGAAAATGTATTGGGTGGAGGAGGTAGAGAATGAAAGAGTGAATAAATAAGCAGCAGTTATTGTAGTCCTCTATGAGAGAGATGATGGTGGCTTACACTGGGCAATGACATTGACCATATATTTAAAAACAATTAGGCTAGAGAAAGAAATAAAAGGTATCCAAATTGAGAATGAAGAAGTGAAAGTGTCACCTTGAGAAATGACATGATTCTTTATATATAAAACCCTAAAGACTCCACCAAAAATATATTAGAAACGATAAACAAATACAGTAAAGTGTCAGGATACAAAAATCAATGTACAAAAATCCAGTGCATTCCTATAAACAAACAATGAAATTTCAGAAAAAGAAATGAAGAAAAACCCTCCATTTAAAATTGCAAAAAAATAATAAAGTACCTAAGAATCAACAAAAGAGGTGAAGGACCTTTATACTGAAAACTGCAAAACATTAAAAAAGATGGGAAAAGACACAATGAAATGGAAAGTTATTCTGTGTTCTCGGGTTCGAAGAATCAACCTAGTTAAAATGGCCATATTACCCAAAACAATATACAGATTTAATGCAATCCCCATCAAAATATCAATGTCATTTTTTTAAAGAAATAGAAAAATCATCAGATTTGTATGGAACCACAAAAGACCCCAAATAACCAAAACAATCCTGAGAAAAAAGAACAAAGCTGGAGGTATTATGCTACCTGACATAAAATTATACTACAGAGCAACGATAATTTAAGAAGCATGGTATTGGCAGAAAAACAGGTACACAGACCAATGGAACACAACTGATATCACAGAATTAAAACATGTATATAGACAAATAAATTTTTGACAAAGGGGTCAAAAACCTACAATGAAGAAAAGAAAGCCTTTTCAATAAATGGTGCTGGGAAAATTGGAAAGTCACATGCAAAAGAATGAAACTAGAGTCGAGTTTGTTCCCATGTACAAAAATTAATTCAAAGTGGATCAAAGACCTAAATATACAGACAATACATTACATAGAAGAAAACATAGGTACTAAATTTATGAACCTTGGTCTTAGAAAAGATTTTCTGAATTTGACCCCAAAAGCAAGGGAAGTAAAGGTAGAAATAAATGAATGGGACTATACAAACTAAAAAGCTTCTGCATGGCAAAAGAAATCACCAACAAAACAAAAAGAGAAACCAACCAAATGGAAGAAGATATTTGCAACAGTATCTCCAACAAGGGATTAATAGCCAAAATATATAAAGAACTCATACAACTCAACACCAAACAAGCAATCTTATTTAAAAAATTAGCAGAGGGCCAGAAGAGACATAGAAATGACCAACAGATATATGAAAAGATGCTCAACTTGGTTAACTATTAGAGAAATGCAAATCAAAGCTAAATGAGATACCACCTTACACTTGTTAGAATGGCTATTATCAACACAGAAATTAATAACAAGTGTTGGACAGGTTGTGGAGGAAAAGGAACCTGTATTCCTTGCTGGTGGGAATGTAAATTTGTACAGCCACTATGAAAAAAGTATGGAGTTTACTCAAAATTAAGAATGGAGTTACCATATGACCCAGCAATCTTCTCCTACCCAGGAGAAGATTTTTTTTAACCAAAAAAACTGAAAACATTTATTTACAAAGATATATGTTCATTACAGCATTATACGTGCTGAACAAGACATGGAAACAACCAAAGTGTCCTTTAACAGATGATTGGATAAAGAAGATGAACATGTACACAATGGAATACTACTCAGCCATAAGAAAGGATGAAATACTGCCATTTGAAACAACATGGATGGACCTTGAGAATATTATACTAAGTGAAAACTCTAAGACCCATATGATTTCACTGATATGTGGGATATAAAACTGAAACTCATAAAAACAGACAACTGTATGTTCATTACCAGAGGGAAAGGTGTGGGGAGTTGTGCACACTTTCGATGAACTTACTATATTAGCTCAAATTATTCATAATTTCAGTTGTTACACTTAATATCATTAAACACAGTCTTACTTTATCAATAAACACAGAGAAAATGAGAAGAAAAAGAAAATATCTTTTCCAAAAGACATATGCATCCCTATATCTATTGCAGCATTATGGCAGCATATGGAAGCAACCTACATATCGGAGAAGTGAGTGGATAAAGAAGATAGATAGTACATTTGTATAATGGAATATAGCTCAGCCATAAAAAAATAAAATCTTACCATTTGTGACAACATGGATGTATGTAGAGAATATTATGCTAAGTGGAAATAAGTCAGACAGAGAAAGACAAGTACCATATGATTTCACTTATGTGGGGAATCTAAAAACAAAGTAAACAAACAAAACAGAAACAAACTTATAGATACAGAGTACATTTTGATAGGAGGGTAATTTGGGGTCATGGGAGAAGAGAGGAAAAGGATTAAGATGTGCAAATTGGTTGTTACAAAATAGTCATGGGGTTGTAAAGTACGGTATAGGGGATAGAGTCAATTATATTGTAATAACTATGTGTTGTTTCAGCTGGGTACTAGAATTACCAAGGTAATCCTTTTGTAAGGTATATAAATATCTAATCACTATGCTGTACATCTAAAACTAATACAATATGGTATGTTGACTGTAATTGAAAAATTTTTTAAATAAAAATAAAAATATGTCATTCATCTAAGGGAAATAAATAGAAAGGAAGGGGGAAGGGAGGAAGAAATAATTTTTTTTATGAGACTTATAGAGTGAAGAGAACCCTGAACTATGGGTTCAGAAAACTTGTACTGCTCAAGGCCCTGCCACTCACTGTGTGACCTTGTATAATTCACTTGGTTTTACTCCTGTCTTTACTTCCTTTATCTGTGAAATGGTCACTTGAACTAATATTTCTAGAATGTCTCTTTCATTCTCCAAACAGTTATTCTAAGAACCACTATATTTTCCATGCTTTAAGAATTTTATCTACCTCATAGAATAAAATGTCTGAGAACAGAAGATAGATTTTAGATACAAGAGTTGAAGTAAACAGAGGTTAAATGTTTTTCCCAAGATCACTCAAGCCGTTGACAGTATAGTGTGTTTTATAATACAAAATCTTATGATTAGGTATCATATCTAATCCTGAGGTATGAAAACTTTCTCCCTTACCTTCATTTTCAAAAAGATGCTTTCAAGATTGATACAATAGGGCTCACTCTTTCTCTCTCTCTCTTTAGTATGCCTGAACCCTTCCCCACCCTCTACTTTCCCCAGGGCACCAACTCTCTCTCTCTCTCTCATCTATCTATCATCTATCTATCGTCTATCTATCATCTATCTATCATCTATCTATCATCATCTTTAATCTATCTATCTAATCTATCATCATCATCTATCTATCTATCATTTATCTATCATCTATATATCATCTATATCTGGAGCATCATGCTGTCACCTTTCCCTCTCTTCTTCCCTTAAGTCGAATACCTTTACCCGCTGTCTCTCTCCTAAGCTCCAAGGGACCTTCTTTTGCCTCTGTAGCTTTTTTCCTGAGCCCACGCAGCCCAGCTGGCTCACCTTTTCTACTTCTGTGACTCAAATGAACTTTCCCTTGTATTTGGAAAAAAAAGACTGATACAACAGAAAACAACATACATAGCACAATTCTCTTACGCAGTCTACCTTTTGCTTAATAACTTGAAATGAGTTTAGTCAATGTATAGCAAGTCATTCAGATAGGCTAGGAAGATATATGGTATCACATTGAGCTCTAATCAGTGCTAACCACCTTATTTTCCCTATAGCTGTAAGATTCTGTGACCGGTGCCATTTGATCAAGCCAGATCGCTGCCACCACTGCTCTGTTTGTGCTATGTAAGTGACAGCCATATTTTCCCTGGACTGAGATTGGCCACTGATGGTTGCCAAGAAATAATGTGACTGGTCTTAGCATGTAACTATTTCTAGATAAGAGCATGTCCTTTAAATCATAATGATCACATGCTAAACACACTCACAGGGATGATGATTCAAACTATTCTGAAGATAGAAAGAAAAATAAAACCTCATTTTAAAAATAAACATTTTCTTTTAGAACAGTTTTAGATGAATAGAATTATTTTATAGATAATTCTCATACATCCCAAACCCAAGTTCCTTGTTATTAACATCTTATATTAATATGGTAGATGTGTTACAATTAATGAACAAATATTTATACATTGTTTTGGATTGAAATCCATACTCTATTCAAATTTCCTCCGTTTTCACCTAATGTTCTTTTTCTGTTCCAAGATCCCATACAAGACACCACATTACCTTTATTTGTCATGTCTTATTAGGCGCCTCTTAGATATGATGCTTTCTCAGGCTTCACTTTCTTTTATGTAACCTTAACAGCTCTTAGGACTGTCAAGTATTTTGTAAGATATACTTCAGCTAAGATTTTTCTGATATTTTTCTCAAGATTAGACTTAGGTAATGTGTTTTGGGGAGGAAGATCATAAAGGTAAAGTGCAAACTCATTATATCATATCAAGGGTACATAGTATAAATATGACTTATCACTGTAATGTTAATCTTGCTCATCTGGTTGACATAGTGTTTGTCAGATTTCTCAACTATCAAGTTACTCTCTCCCCCTTTCCATATTGTACTCTGTAAGGAAGTCATTTGTGCAGCCCACACTAAAGAATTGAGGAGTTATACTCCCCCTCCTTGAAGGTAGAATATCTACATAAGTTATTTTGAATTCTTCTGCATGGGATATTTGTCTCTCTTCCTTCTTTTATTTATTTATTTATTTATTTATTTATTTATTTATTTATTTATTATTTATTTATATTTATTTATATCGGTTTGTAAGTGTGGATAATCATTTTACATTTTGTGTTATAACTGAGTACTACTTTGTTTTGTTACTCTAATTGTTCCAGCTTTGCAAAACCCCCTTTTTATGTTAATAAGTATAGTCTTCATATCTTTCTTCTTGGGTGCTTGTTCCACCTGTTTTTATCTTACCCTTGATTCAAATACAGACTGTAGCCATATGTTTTCTTTTGTACTTTTAATTAACTGAGTATTGAGCAAAATGAAGGACAATATCTTAGACGTTTTCTCTGTATCAGTATCCTAGAATTCTCAATACCTTTTAAAGATTGGACTTATAGGCATGTAACTTGTTGCCAGTATGATCTTACAATTTGTTGTGATTGGATAATTCTAGGAATAACTGAGAACACAATAGCTTTAGAGTAGCTATAGTGGAAATCTAAGAATGAGTGTACTGGCACCATGTAAAAATACTGGTGAGAACTTGAGTTCAATTATGAGGTGTTGCTTCCTTTCCATAGCCCTACTTATCACACTGTATTTTGCTCCTTTTTTAGATGTGTTTTAAAAATGGACCATCATTGCCCTTGGTAAGTCTGTTTTATTTTACTTTCCTCCAAAAAGAGTCAAAGTTGCTCAATATGCCTACTTTACAAAGCATAGTTGTAACATGCCTGTTTCTGCTATTCACTGAACTTTTTATTTGTGTGAAGGACAGAGGTCTTAACATTTTAAAGCAAGAATCAATATACCACCAAAGATATGGTAGTGAATTCTTGGGGTCACAAAGCTAAGGGTCTCTTGTCTATTAACTTTAGCAATTAGTCATAGTAATGAAATAGAGCACAAATAGTTCTCTTTGACATTACACACTCAGTTTTTTGCTTTTTGTTCTCTTGATATTTGAAATACTCTAGATTGTTAACTTCAGCAATTCTCCAAATTTTCTATGTCTGATCTAGAGAACCGGTCTGAAATCATCTAACTACAAAGAAAACATGCCACACTGTACTAGGTGTCGCTGCTAAGATTTTAATAGGTTTTTAGCATCCAAGATCTAGGTTTGCTTGGGTGTGTCAGGAACCAGTTCAGAACAATTAGATTAGCCAGGTGTCTCTGTGCTTATGAATGAAAGGAGAAACAAGTGAGACATGAACTTGTTTTTCCAGTTTGTTCCTTTTACTGGAGTTTTATTTCTGTTGAGTTCCTACACAACACAGCAGGAACAACATACTTCCATTGCTTAATTCACTTATGTATCAGTGTGTTCTCAATTAATGGGTCCTGATTTCAAATTAGTTTTTCTTTTTTTTTTTAGGGTTAACAATTGCATTGGATTTTCCAACTATAAATTCTTCCTTCAGTTCTTAGGTTATTCTGTTCTCTACTGCTTGTACATTGCTACAACAGTCTTCAGCTATTTCATCAAATACTGGAGAGTAAGTTAAAAAATCCTGAATCCCCTCCCCCCAAAAATACCTCACAAACACACACCTACTTGTCTGTGACATTGTTTACCTTATCATTTTTTTACAATTTGAAATAGCTAATATGGAAATAACCAGAAAGGAATGCACCAAAAGCAATTTCCCCATATTGAATATTCTGAGATTCAGGAGGCTGTTATATAAAGATTCCTGTTAAACAAGTTTCTGTTATATATGAAAATCTTTTTAAGGACTGCAGGAACCTAACCTCCTGACTCTTACTGATTCTTTACAATGTACTTCTCCAGTCAAGTTTTAAAAATTCACATCTTACCAATTATACACTTGACAAATGTTGAAACAAATTCTACATCCTTAGTTTCCTAAGAAAAAGGGGTAACAAAGTATATCTTCATTGTTAGAAAATACTTTTAAATTCCTTGTTCAAAGGAGAGTTGCAAAATTCCTACAGGGAAAGAAAAAGACATTGATTCATCTTCACATATGACCAAAATGAAATAAGGAGTCCTATTTGAATTTTGTATAACAAACACTGGGGTTCTAATACTGGCTGTATTACCTGCTTTACTGGCTTCTTGTCAAAATAAATGAAACAGATGTTGAAAGTACTCTACCTTTCAAAATATGATTCTAATAATTATAATAAAATCTAAAGAAATCCTCCTTCCATCTTTCTTCTACTTGAAGATATCAATCATAACCCATCTATTTCCAAAAGAATTGAAGGCAGATTTTCAGTTTATATATGTATACAAGGTCTCCAGCAATATAGTGAAATATGTTGTTCTATTTTGTTTCATGCCAGTGGACTCCAGAAGATATTACCTCCATATAACTCTAGTATCATTACTAAGACATCATAACCTTCCATGAAGAGGATTCTCTAACCTGAACTGAATAATAAAAGACAGATGTAGGCAGAGCTACTAGTGATTATTTTAGGAATTTCACCAGAGCCTGTACAATAGGAATATCTCACCTCAAGTAGAGAGGTAAAGCAGCAGGGAAAGAACATGAATCCTGTGACCAGAATATGGATTATAATAAACTG